ATAAAAATAAAAAACATAAAATAACAATTTCACTTAACAGTAAAAAAGCTAGGGAAACAATGAAGTTATCATAATCTAGTTAGCACCTATTCCGTTTGCTTTACCAAGATTTTGTACTTGTCCGTCATTAAAAATTGGATTGAGAAAATGACCATTAATCCAAGTTGGCTASAGCAATATCGATATTAAAAACAACAACAAAGCAAATGAAAATAATAAATAAAACCCGAGGGTAAAAGATATGAGAAGTTCAAAACAGTTTTACTAGAAAAATGAGTCAATTCGCTTCTTTCCTAGTTYCTGATAATTAACTGTTTTTAATTGCTTGTAAAAAATTTGGATTCTGCTTCACTTTTAACCCAAATTTTACAAACATTAAAAACATTATTTATTCGTTTATAATAACATCGATATCAATAATTATAACAGCTTAAAGATCAATCATTTCTCAACACCAATCGATCATTTTAGTCCTTAATTTGCGCCCAGTTCCGTGACCATTTGAATGGCCTAACATCAGGAGTAATRTCCCCAACCACTTAACTCTCAACCAACCCCTTAAAAATTTGCATTTCAACTCTATTATGCTAAGGACAGCTACATTTGTCGGCATGGACAATCCACTTCTACCACGCGCTTATAAATAGATGTCAGAAGCTTGGCATTTGATATCTTAATCTTCAAATATTAGACAGCTTAATTGAAACGTAGTAGGACAGGCAGCAAATTGCGCGAACACGCCGCTAGGCTTTGAAAAAACTACATAGAGACGAGGGAAGCCCTGTAAGGTAAGAAAACACCGCTTTAGGTTTCTAATTTTGATTTAATTACTAGTTTCAAGTCGTTTTGTTTACACAAATGTTAAAAAATATATTGTTTATTTGTCATTTGAGAGCCGAGCTCTGAGAGCATAAAACAGGTGTCTTTATTGACAAGACAAAAACGTCTCTTGTAGAGCATTAAAAAAAACAAGCAAGGCTGTTCCTCTTTGGCATTGTCAAGTTGGTATATAAAAAGCAATATGGTGAAGCCGTGTGAGGTTTGCCTTATGGTTACGTATTCAGTTATGGCGACGATTGGTCTGGTTGGAAATCTCCTCGTTTGCTTTGTAATTCARCAAAACCGACCCGTGAAAAGACCGATCAACTATCTCTTCCTAAACTTGGCGATATCGGATACTATTGTGTTAGTATTTATAACTATTGACTTCGTTTTGGTACATTTATACCAGCACCCAAGTGGGAAAACTGGAGMCTTTCTTTGCCGTTTTATAACTGGTGGAAGTATTGCATGGATCGGTGCGGTTTCTTCAGTATGTACAATGATCTGTATTTCATTTGAGCGATTCTACATAGTTCTAAAGCCTTGCCAGTATCTTAAACTGTTCACTGTTTCGAATATCAAACTAGCTATGATCTTTTCGTGGKTTTTTGCGGTAATATTCAACGTMCCATTGTTCATTTATGGTCATTTTGACGAGCGCGCGCGCGAGTGTTCAGAAAGTTGGCCTTCRTTGGACTTCGCTATAGTTTACGTSTTTATTTGGYTGAGYTTTGTAGCAATTCTCCCAGCTATCATAGTCCTAGTGATTTATTCACAGATTATTTACACTTTGTGGCTAAAGAAGGAAGGAACGCTCACGATAATTACAAAAACAGCGATTCACAAAGCGAGAAAAAAAGTCACCAAAGTAGTGTACATCATCAGTCTTATCTTTTGCCTWAGTTGGTTCCCACCTCTCATAGACAACGTCATAGTCATTTTCGCGCCAAATCGATCTCTCTCTGACGTCACACACAAAGCAACAGTGTTCTTGGTCGTGTTTAATTCATCTGTAAATCCACTGATCTACACGTTTCAAAGCGCGCGCTTTCGGCAGCATTTGAAATGCTTGATCTTCAAAAGGCGTAACAGAAACACCATTTGTCCTGCTCAAATTGAGGAGACTCCMAAAAACGCGTGGGTACCCCCACTGAGGAGAAACAAGTCCAGYCAGGAGGCTATGAAAGAACTCAACGTGGCGACTCAGGATTTGTTGTTTTTGTGGCTTACAGGTCCTTAAATGCGATATAAAACGGTTTTAACTACACCTTATCCGTTCTTAGAGTCGTTTCCATATGTCCTTGTAATGAAAACGGCCATAAACAAAAACGATAGATTTGCAGTGTCATAGAAACTATTGGTCTTAAAATAATCCTTCACGGTCAAATGAAAACGCAAAAAAAAACGACTCTTCTCCTAGCCAGAGAACACGTACGCACGCCATAGCGGCAGTGAAACAAACTTAGCACAATGTCCAAGACGGCTGTCTTAGGGTTAATTAGGTTTAATTCTATTTCTATAAAGTTGATATAAGTTGATGAAAAGTGATTTAACGTAAATTAGAATCCAAACTCTCGAGTGAGATMAAAAAAACCCGTGAAATATCACTATTTCTCACTATAACACTGTTGCTAAACGTTGCATTTTTTATGGCACTTGCACTTCATGTAATAGAACTAAAATCAATCAATTAATATCAACGTYCAARMAGTCTGTCATGAAAAAAGTGACTCATTGAATGTGGAAGAAAAATAACTTTTAGATAGCCAGCAGTTTACCATAGCAACATGTAACTATGGAAACAACTGCACGTGAAGTATACCTAAGTCCATGCATCCGGACCGGATATTTTAAAACGCGCCATTTGAAGTCATTTTAAAGCGTTTTTAAGACAGTTTTCAAGCTTAATATCAGGCAAAACCGAAGGAGAAATTAAGTCAAACAAAAAGGAATAAAAATGAAAAGGAATTAGATCGAAAATGAAAAGAATGAAGCAAGTAATGGAAATGACAAAATTTACAAATTACGTATTTCTTTTAGTTCAGTCAAACATACACGATATTCTCACGTCCATTAGATTATATCAAGCTGAAAACGTGTTCAACGCTAGCTCCTAGTGTTTGTTGAAAAAAGRCCTTTGCTACGTGTTCTAATTCTCTAAGTTTTCATCGCACCCCCACGGAAACCTTGCATTATTYATTATACTCAACAACGGATGTCTCAAGCTTCAAGGTTTCCTTCTACACACTCTTTTCGCTCTCGGCTATTAAAATTCTAAGTTAATTTACCATATTAACGACTACATTACTGAATCTAAATTTCTCTATAGTCGTAATACGGTTGTCTTTGAAGACATTTGCCAAATTGTTCATTAATTAAATTTCAAGATAGTGCTCCATGATAAAGAAAACGACTTTGAGAGCTCACGACTTAAGTGATAAGTCTTAGAGATCTTCTTTTGTGTGACAAGACCACGTAGTTCAACAGCTGCTACGATCAGTCAATTTATAATGGGAAAAAATAAATAGATGACTGGATGAAAAAATGAATGAATAAATGGATGAAAGGAGAGATAAATAAATAAATAAATAAATAAATGAATGAATAAATAAATAGATAGATGGATGAAGAAATACATGATAAGTGTATAGAGTTGTCACTTATTGTGGAAAATATTGAAATTATCCAAACGTTTCGACGACTGACTGCCGTCTTCGCGGTGGAAATCGATTTGGTGAATATTAAAAACTTGCCAATTCAAAGATTCCCGTATATTACAGGGAATTATACATGCTCGTTAATAGAATGCGGATCGTGTTTTGAGTGCCAAGCTTCCAAAGAAATAAGGAAATGAAACAATGGATTAATGGATGAATAAATGAATGGAAGAATATTGAAATGGATGGATGAACAAATGAATGATTGGGAGCTTGTTTAGTCACTTTCTTTTCCTTTAGTCTCAGCTTCCGTGTTCCATGCTTATTACATCAACCAGCTATCGACTGATCAATGTCATGTAGAGCAAACAAAAACAAACTCGCTACTTCCTTTCTTACTTCCTACAAGATAAGTAACCAAGTAACCACAAAAATATAAGAAAGAAAAAAGGAGAGAAAAGATAAAAACTTGCGCTGCTCCGATCTAGCTGGCGTTCTTCAAAATACTCCAGTTTCGAGATCTTAGAGTAGAAACACACAAACCAAAAAATGTGCAATATTAAAAATCCTTTTATTCAGCAGAGATACACTCTGTGCGTGTAAAAAGAAGACAATAAAAATTTATGCTTGATTGAAGCTAAGCTTGCACAAAAGAGAATTCGAAACTGGAGTRTTCCWACAAGACCGCACACCAACGTGAACGCAGGCTAAGGTTTTTTACTGTGAAAAGTAACGCCATTCAAGATTGATTCGCACTTGTGATTTATTGATAGTGAAATGTATTCTGATGTATAATAGAAAGGCAACATGGAAAACCGTGAATCAGTAAGCATTGTGCCGTGAACGAAGCGAGTGGAATGAGCAGAAATTTGCCTTTTAGAAAATGCGTAACCCACAATGCTTTGTGGGGAATAAAGAGCACCAGTCTCCTCGCTTATGCTTTAAAATACCTAATCAAATCTCATAATAGCGACCTTTCTCCCTATATCGGCCATAACAGATATAGTTTTAGAGAGAAATTCGAACCGACCATACTCAACATACCGACCACTATTTACAATACAATAACAGCTACGACCCCACCCCAACATAGCGGGCACAATTGTTCATTATATCATGAAGTGGTCGCTATGTTAATGTCTGGTCGTATTAATTCATTATCTTTGCTCGCTTTCTGAGGATCAGTTGTCTTTTCCAGTCAGGAAGGTGTGCCAGTTTCTCTTCCCGGTTTTTCCTACAAAGAAAGGTATCAATGATGAGGAAATAGAGTTGGGCTTCCTGTTTCGTGGAATGTGGGGAAAACTGGGTACACGAGCACTGAAAAACACGTTATTACATAAAATGCAGGAAACATCATGCATCTTGATGTGCGCATGCGTATAAGGTGTGAACTGACGTATGCATGCAATCAAACCAATGGAAAGAACGATCGAGAGAAAATGACGAATAAACACACGAACAAAAGTTTCAAAGGAATGCAAGAGCGAACGATCGAAAACAAAAGAACGAACGATCGATCGATCGATCGATGGAGCAATATAGAATTATGGAACGATCAATCGAGTGAATAAGCGAATTCCTAAACACAAGATACAAAAAATCGACTACAAATGAAATAGAAAAACAAAGCAAAGCAAAGTACAGAAAATCAAACGAACGAAAGCGCAAAATAATAATAATAATAAAAAAGAACAATAGTATAAAGTTCCTGCAAAACCAACAACAACCATAAAACCGTCACAAACAATGAAACACGCAACCAATAAAAAACAAACACGCCATCACATTCCAAAAGCACTGCTTTCTAATGAAGCATTTCAAGCTGAGAGAGTTATAGCCTGACCTGTCGGATTCTTCGCGTTGCATGATGGGTACTTTCCAGGCAGGTATGCCTGCGTATTTTTTCCTCTCCTCTTCCTCCTGGTAGAAAATKACTCGGGTTACCGGCGAACGATGATTTATAACACAGGAATTTAAGTATGTTAGGACTTGGAAAACTCTTAAACCAATTCAGTGAATGTCTGATGATTCTAGATATATACAGCTCGAAGTTTCGCTAGTTATTTTTTCATTTTCTTGTGTTTCAAATTTTCGGCTGCAGAGTTTCTCTCGTTTGAGTCGTGTTCCTCGAATGACGTTCGACAACMATTTTTTTTGATCCAGGAATAACAAATARATGGAGAAAGCMAGGTGGAAAATTATTATCCAGCGAAATGAATAAGATGAATTGGAAATTGAGAACATACCGTCGTTACAAAACACTTTTCCTTTTTTTTAAACTTGTATGCCTGGAGAAAAACCTTCAGTGCAAAGATGAGCAAAATGTCTGAAACATACAAAGTGCACCTGAAAACAACTTGGACAGCTGCCTATCATTTTAGTTACCCGTCAACACTTGCTCCCGTGTTTTGGTCAATGCCTTATTCGTGCTTTGCTGATTGGTTGAAGTGAAAGGTGGACAAGTGCTACTTCGAAGAAAACAACAAACTTACTTGCTTTCGTAGATGTAAYTCTGTCTGTTGCTCTTTCATAATACGGTTTCTCAGTACTTGACGCTTCCATTCTGGCAATGTTGCCCATGTTTCTTGATCGATTGCTTCTTGATGACCTGAAAAGGCGTAACAGAGGTAATGTTCAGAAAGTAAAACGAGGTTTAGAGAAGAGAAAACGTGATAGCAAGTGAAGGAGAGGAAGGAAATGTGCTTAAGATGGAAGGAAGGAAGGAAGGAAGGAAGGAAGGAAGGTAGGAACGGAAAGGCGGAGATAAGCCTTGTTGATGGATGAATGGAAGGATGACTAAAGGATGTGAAGGAAGGCGAGAGAGAAAGCAAACAGCAAAGCAGGCATTCAAACATGAAGCATACTTTTCTTTGTGGTTTCCATTCCGGTCATATGAGGCAGCGGCTGCAGTTGTCTCTGACGTAGCGGGACCTTATCGTCTGCACTYTTTTCTGGTCGTGGCAAACTTGCCGTTTTTTCTGTCTCTTCATCAGTTGTCATGTAATTCTCCTCGTCAATGTGTTGCTCATTTTCGTCTATTTTGTGTTCATCTTCTTCAGTGGKACTTGTCCCTGGCATATCTGGAGGATCTGCCATCGATGTGCCTTTTGACGGTTGCACAAGGGGAGTCGCTGAATRTAAGTTCGAGTTCTTTTGAGGTGGATATCCACGAGGTGGCTCCACTTGTGGACTGGGCTGTTTATCAGCTTGCTGTGGTGGTKTAGGTGACCCTTTCTTTTGTGGTGGTGCAGGCGAAGGACTGGTATCCTTTACTTCATGAGGTGGCGGTGGAGAAGGTAATTTCACTTGATTTGACTTGGRAAGAAAACCCTCGTCTACTTTAGGTGGTGGAGAAGGGGCCTTCGGTGACTCCTTTGGTTCAGCAGCCCTTGTTACAGGTGTGTCGTCCAGTTTCGGCGGTGATGACGTATCGTGACTCACCTGCGAGTTTTCGGGTGGGCCTTTCTCAGGTTCCGGACTTGGATCTCGAGTGCTGTTGGCAAAAATATCCGTTAGAGTTTTTGGAGCTGAAGGAGAGGAGTTCATGGCAACTGGCTGGTCTGGCGACTCTACTGAACGATTCAACATTTGATCTTCGAACGTGGACTTGCTAGCATCACTAAGTTCCATGGGTTTCTCATTATTCTCATTATTTTCTCCCATGTTTTCATTTTCTATTTCTACAGTTTTTATGACTTCGTAATCACTCTTATTCAACGTGCTATGAGGCGATCGCTTAGCACGCGCGGCCTGGATCTGTGATGAAAATTCCTCGACCATCCTTGCCTCAGTCTCCTCGCTTCTATCATCGAACATGTGAAGGGGGGATGGGGTAGGATTCTGCATCCTCGCGYTCATAATTTGAGTACGAAGTTTTGCGGCTTCCAGCAATTCAGATGTTAGTTCCTCACTTGGGTGGTGGTCAAAACGACGCGCATCCTCCGCGTTTTGCGTGTACGCATCTACGTCTCGCGTGGGTGTCGCGTTTCTATTTYTATTCTTCCAGAATTCCTCGTTTAAGGGAGCCAATGATTTCGCACCGTTGGAAACCAAAATGTGTTCTCTCTGGATTACTTGGTCTTCAACGGAATGATTGACCTCGGCAGTGTGCGGAAACTCCTTCGCTACATCTTCAACGGCCATTTTTTGCCATTCCGAAGCTTTTCCRAACTCTATCATGCATGGAATCGGGGTGTTCCTCGGAGAAGGTTCGGGACTTAAATCCAGTGGTGGAACATCGGGCGCCTTGGCAGATTTTGGGGAAGAAGGTCGATCCATCTGTCTTGGTTTCTTTTTAAGTACATGGAGGAAAGAAGAGCCGGATTTGTCCTCGACTGATTGTTTGTCAAACGTGTKAGTATAAGACATCAACTTYGCTGCTCGGACTTGGTTGGCCTGCGATTTAAAATGAAACAAATATAGAATGATTAAATCAATGAATGAAAAAAATCATATAATAAGCTTATACCTTTAAAGACGCTTCTCTAAGATAATCAAGACATCTCTTGTGGCCATACTTTTCCGCTAAATCAATAGGAGTCAGGCCACTGTTGTCCTTCAGCTTTGCGTTCAAGTTACCATTCTCTACAAGAAACTGGATGGCCTATAAATACAAAATATAAGAACAATAGAACAAGATAGGAAATGACACAGCGGAACAGAACAGTAGACAGTTCTGTAGAGGTAGGGACAAAGGAAGAGACAGAAGTAGTAGTGGAAGAGGAATGTGATGGAACAGAATGGAAGGGAATAAACATCAATATCATCGTCATTATTATTGTATGATCATGATTTTCTTCGATATCTTAAAAGGTAGTTTTGCCTTTGCATCGAAGTGAGACAACCGTTGAGCGTGCAACGATAGAAACCTGTGAATAATTGTCTGTAGGCGTGTAAGAAGATTCTATCATTACATGTTTGTTTTGGTGCAAAGTTACGGCTTTATCAGCTTTGAAGATGGTGCAGGAACCATGAAGGAGACTTATATGTTYTACTCWCTTCCAACAAGCCATACCTACCGACAATTGTCCTTTTTCAGAAGCATCGTGCAAAGGCGTTCCTCCTAGYTGATCTTTAATGTTAAGATCACAACGTTTGCTCAGCCACTTTAGTACATTAACATGCCCTTGACAAAATAACAATAAAKTTRTCATAATATTTGTATAAAGGGAGGGGRGGSMAA